TCACGGGGATTTCATTGGGAGATATAAATTGACGTGTCGACAAATTGGCAAGAATTACGCTTAACTCGATTTGTCCGGTCTGTTCCGGATGTGGCGTTTGCATTAGAAAGCAGCCCTAGATTCCACTTGCACGTACTAATAGTCGGTGATGGGTCTGAAGCTTAAACTGTAATTATATCAGTGACTGTCGTTGCTATACGTAAAGCATGTTTCCATGTCCATGTGCAATTTATTTGCCGTTCTCATCCGTAATTAGATCATTTCTGGCTTAATAGTTTGACGAACGATGTAACACCGATGTAACACACCGATATCCGACCGAAAGATGTCCAATGCGATTTAAGTGACATACATCGATGCGCTATTATACGATGCATTTGGCGTCGAGATTTGATATGCGACGTTCTAATCTGCTCGATTACGAACAATATTTGATTGTGAGACAGATATTTCCATATTACTTTTATAAACGTAATAATTTATACAGCCGTTCACGAAGTTAGAGTGAGAAAATCATTCGCATCGCGGAAAAGAGGCAACAATAAACTTTTCAAAAATTCCTTTTTTAAAAATGGATAAACAATCTCAACACTTGAATACTTAAAAGTTTAAAGCTTTTGCAATAGTTATTCTTTTATGTTTTTTCTCCTCTTCAGAGCATCTTTTATTAAATTAATTTCTTTTTATGAGTAATTTTTTAGAAAATCCTTAATGTATTTCAATTTTATATAAATTATATAAATTCAATAAAAATCATAAAAATTACTCATCTTTGTAAATTTATTAAGAAATTACTATTCAAAAATTAAGAATGTTTGTTTATCAATATATTCAATATTTAAAAACTTGAATTTAAAATATGATTTTTTTTTTCAAAGCTTTATTACAGTGCCTTTTTTTATATTCTATAAAATTTTAATATCAGATATCCTGTTATCTAAAATAAAGTTTTTATTATATTTTTAGTTCGTTTCAAATAATGAAAAGAATTCTCTTGAATTATTTTTGATATTAATTCTCTAATATTATTTAAAATTTTTATTATGTAACATATCGATTTATTATTAAAAAAATTATTTGTAAACTGATTTGTACCGTTTCTTTTGTTTCTCAAATATAAGAATTCTAAAAAAACGAGTTAAAAAAATTCGTGTTTCAGAAAAATAAAAATACATATTTTTACTAAAACATTATAAATATAAACGATTTAAATCCATAATGGAAGTCATTTTTTGTTTTCAAATTTTAATTTCCAAGTAATAATATAAATTTAATCCTGATATTTCATGTATTAAAATATCAAGATTAAACTTTATATTATTACTTGAAAATAAAAATTGGAAATAAATAAATCATGTTATCCTTTTTATAAACTTTTTATTTTAAATTAGTTGTACTCTGGAGGTTTAATATTATATGTATGTAATATTATATTGTATTATACGGATACATTACACGATAATATGTGCAGTATAATATGACAGACATAATTCGTCAACCACGAGTGGACGCAGGACTTGTCACAGCAACGAACAGGAGCGGGCACTCAATTGGACGTATCCTGTGCCTGAATGGTAATGGTCAACGACAGGTCAAAGGCAACCCGCGATACCCTCTAGTTTAAAGGACAAAGGAAACGCAATTCTCTCATGCAATTTCCTCGCTGGCGCCGAATGAAGTGCTAGAATTTGGCACTTCAAAGACTGCAAGAGTGGCATTGTCATTCCAGTGGTATCTACTTTTCATTCCTTTCTTGTTAGCTTTTTGCCGTGCCCTATCGATCGCGCGGTCATACCACTTGGCTCTAGCACGTGAGACATAAATCAAGATTAGCGGCATCACCTTTTCTTTTTTTATTTTAATACAACAAACGGCACGACACGACATACTCGCGATAATTATATAATGAAATTAATTTAGTTTTTTATATGATAACTTTGCAATTTTTATTAAAACATTAGTTTTACACTCGATTAGATCTGTTTGTTGAACGTTGCAGCTTCGCATGCTCTCGTATTATCCGCCAATTAATTTCGAAATGTTTTTTCGCAGACGTTACTCGAAATAAAATTTTCATAAAATTATCTCTTATTTCTTTATCCATTTAGTTTCTATCGCGCTGTGCTATTAAATTTTCTACCGATTAATACGTTTAAACACGTTTGTCGATGTTGGAAATTGGTAGGATATCGAAAGCAAAATGGGAGATGTTTCGTAATATCATCTTCCCTCTTGTGTATTATAATACACACATACACACACGCGGACAATGCGTAAAATGCAGATAAATGAAATGATAGAAATATAATTTCACGAGATTAATGGCAGATACATGAGCAATCAATTCAATCAAATCGTCCGATGTATAATCGGGCTTCATTTCTTGACAATTTAACACGTTTTAATTGAGAGTTATTACTTGGTTACGCGCGATCGCCGGCGAATTTCGATGCGGCGATCTCATTATTTTGTTGCGACGTGTGTATGATATCGAGCCCTTTCAGGCAAAATTGATTACCGCAACAATCTATCCTTGTCCGATGGATAAACGGGAGGGGGCAGGGGCAGGGGTGAGAAAGAGAGAAGAGGGGAGGGGGAGGAAGAGGGCTACAGATTGCACGCGTATTCTCTTCAATCATTTGCTCTCGTCTACGGATAAACGATCGGCTCGATTTTTAACTTTCCAACAAATTCCGATCGTATTAATTGCTCCTGCGTTATTTCGCCGGAACAACGCCGGGACGCGTTGCATTCATCATTAGGGGGAAAGCAGAGGGAATTAATTCGGGTCGTACCCCACTTTTTTTTCCCGCCGCAACCGCGATAGTTTGACGGCCTCTGACAAACGGCTAACCGCGCTGGATCGACATAACTGTTGAGTTTACCGTGCAGACGGGTCTAATTGTGATCGGCCGGCAGTGGTCGCACTGACAATTACACGGCGACATTTCTGTTGACGCGCTGACGGTTATCATTAAATTCGTCCCCTCCCCCTTTCTCTCTAATTGTCCGCGTTAGCAAACGGCGCGAGAAAAGAGATCGGGGGATGAATTGGGTCACATCATCCATTGACCGCCCAATCATACAGACCTCATGACGCAAATGACCTCCACGATGTTTCCGTGCAAAAATCTGTGTCGGAATATCACTATAAATATCATCGTGGTATATTTCGTATGTTACTTCTTATTATCGAGTTATGAGAAAAATATCGCGTTTGATCGCGGTTTTATGCTAAGCTATAATTTCACGTTTCGACTCGATTTTATCGCTGTTATTAATCAAACAACATTTTTGCACAAAGCTCCTAAGATTTCTCGTGGAATAATAACCGTGGCTATCAGCGAGGCCGCCAGCCACAGTCTAATCGCTCTTTCGTTTGCTGTATTATAAGCACAAATATTCCAATTAAGCCGCAAGCCCCGCGAACGGAATTTCCAAACGGAAATGCAAGATACATCGCGATTGTGCTAACATTGTTGCAAGCAGATGCAATAATGATAAAGGTAAAATGTTCGTGCCGCATTTTTATATTTCATCATTTTGCTTTGCTTTGATATTTCAAAATTTTTGTCCTTCAAGTTTGCCTATTTCGGCCTAACGTTTTTCTAACTTACGTACTATATATATATATATATATATATATATGGAGACTCACAGAGAAACCATATTTTTTCTTAACTATAAATATTAAAGTTCTACATAATAAAAATCGTTTATCCAGCATTAACAATTTTTGACCTGTAAAAAATCGAAGATTCAAGGACTTTGTCGAAATCTTCGTAGGAAATTTGATTCAATCAAGCTTGTGATTTCTACTAAATTGTTTCGTCAATATGCTTCACGTTGATAAAAATCTGCGGGATTTTTCGCTTGGTTTTTTTATAATCTTGTCCACATGGCAGAATATCGAAAATGAATATCGATCTTTCGAAGATCCTCATAATTCGCCGATCCCTCCTCAACATTATGCCGCCATTGTACTTCACATTGTGTGCATCGGTCTGATTCTCCTTAGCAGGTCATCGGGAGAAATTGAGCAAGGGGGTAAAGTGGAAGAAAGGACCCTCCTTCAGCTGGCACGCAATTTCGCGGCATTAATGTTGCAAGAGAGTCAACCGCGAGCGGCCGGCGTGCCGAGAACTCTAGTTTTTCCTCTCAGCGGAAAAACCACTATGTACGTATTCGAAGAAAAACTGTTTCTAAGAAAAATAAAATTGCACGCAAAAATTTGTGCTTTCCACGAGGTACGACAAAAGTCAGCTAGTTTGTATTATTTTTAAATCTAGTATACATTTAGCAAAAAAATTTATAATTTTTTAATTATTGTATGTATTTAATTTAACAAATAACATTGTTTTTCTGTTAGTAAGAAATTACATAACATTTTTATTACACAATTACGTTTAAATTAGATATTTATTTTTTAATTAGAAATATTGCGTACGAATGCATAAAATTTTTACGTCCCATTACGTATTATAATATTCCGTAAATTATATCGAAAGCGGAAAACTTACGAAAATTTATTTATAAAATGTTAAATTTCCTGTTAAAAGTACGATAATATTTTTCTTCTTTGATGAATATTTTCTTTATAGAGAAACTGTAAACTTTTCGATTTAATAAAATCCAATATCCGACTATTGTCCACTATTTTTATTGGAAACTAGAATTTTTTAGATTATTTTTAGCGGAAATTGTTAAAATATCGATACATTGCACAAAACTGTTGTACTTTCAGGATCGCACTTACGTGCACCGTGGGGTGCAACATGGCCTATGACATGACTTAGGGTATAAATAGGGTATAAATAACATATATCGCATATAGTTCTGTGTACATACATACGATATTACTGCACACAAGCCGAATTTCCTCCATGTATATCGCCTATAATGCTTGTGCATCATACGCAATGGCCGTCTACGCATGCTGTTCGGCGCGTGCATCCATATTAAACGTACATATTTGCGTATCGCCGGCTATGTGTACTTACTATTCCGGGACTGTTGGATTGGCAGGGCAGCAGGGCGTTTCCACCGGTTTGCGCTAAAATATCCTTGATGAATTTAGGCCTCGCACGGGGGTCAACTAGGTCGCTCTCCTTTGTCGATTGTCTGCGTTCAATTGCACCGTCTACAAAAATTCGGTAGAGAATTTTTACGTCATTGAAGAAGTACAGAGATCTACTTTTAACTACTTTCACGATTGGTGCACTTAAAATCCAAGATTTTATAGGTTAATCAGAAAGATTTGTTCAGATTTCGATGGTAGTTACGATAAATTAGATCGGGAGAAGAGGAAGAGAAAGAAGAAGAGAATCAATCTTCTTCGATCAAGTAATTCGTTTGTTAAACCTTTGGCAATTTCTTAATTCTCTTGTTTTACATTCATTAGTTGAGAATAACTGTCAAATCGCTTTTAGTTTTAACGAGCTACGAGTTTTAAAGATGATGGGTGGTCAATTGGACATTCGCTAACAAGAGTATTTTGGTAAAAGTTCACGCTGAGCTTACGATTGAAAATAATTTTTGAAGTGGAGACGTCAAGAATATCGAGTGCTCTAATCATTTTTAAGAGTTTGGATATTACTTGTAAAAATTTATCGCTAATTTTAAACAAAGAATTAATCAAAAATAATTGAAGATGTTTAAGTTCTGTATTATAAAATATTAAGAAAATATTTGACCTGAATATAAATATATATATATATGAATATATGTCCTGCATATAAAATAATTTTATTTTCCGAATTAAATTATAATTGTTATCATATAAATAACACGATCGTATATTGATCGATTGTAAAATACATCGGTACAGAGGATTAATATTTTTAACATTTCGCTCTGTCTCTACATTAATAATAATTGTTAATAATAAATTACAATGATATATGTCCATTATTATAATCAGCGGACATCTTTTCTCTATTGAATATTGCTTCAAATTTCATAACGGGAAATGATTATTATATGAAAGGATAATTATTGTAATTATTGCATTTAGTAATGTGCGCAAATAATAATAGGTTATTTTTAAGTAAGCTATAATAATTGAACTTGATTCATGCTATTTGAAGTTATAGTAATATTATTTGACGAACATAATTCAAATGCGAAACTCGAAATATAATATTAACATGTAAATACAATCTGGACGCGAGTATGCATGCATTTCACTAAAATTTCATTGTTAATGAATATGAATTAATGAGAATATGAATATCGCATAATTATATCGCGCATTTTTTCAGTTGTAGATTTTACATTACGACTTCTTTTTATAGCAAGAAACTGTACATTTTTAAGGCAATTTAAATTTGCACAGCAATGAAAGCTTTGCGTTAGTTCCATATCAAAGGGCTTTCGCGAAAAAAAATTATGTTTTAAGGATATTAAAGGATTTTGACGGAACTTTGTTCTCCATTAAATGCGAATTAAATCTCGCCTTAACAAATTTAACGCGTGGCTTAATCGCCACGAGCGTTGGAAACGTTTAGCGTTGGAAAAATTACCATTAAGCGGATTAAAATTTAAACCGCGGTCGAACGACTCGCTCATGCTTTGCTCGATGTCAGACGTCGCTAACGTCTAATATTTACCTCTTCATTATTGTAAGAAGTCATCGGAGTAGTCAGCGCGCACGTGTTTGAACTAAATCGCAGAGGTTCTGGCTTTCCCTCTGGCATTTACACCTACATTCAATATAGACCGAGGATATTGGAGATTACGTTACCCATACATGTGTATGATTAGTTCAGATTAGAGTCGACCGAATCGGTAATGGTTGCATCGCTTATTGCGTAAATCCATTCGATTGCGTGCGGCTCGACTCGGATTCGCATTCATGTGCGCGCAACAAACAATGAATAAAGAGACGGAAGGAAATTACATCTACGCCGCTCACAGCAATCTCAACGTTATAATCCGTTGTAATGGCGTATTAAAATGCCGGGCAAACGGTCATCCCTATGCCGCCATGATATCGGATATGATGCGTCATCGATCGAATATTTATAATGGGTATTTATAACGAGTGCGATATCTCGTTACATTGCGAGAGTAATATCGTGGCATTATGAGCATAAAGCATGTATCAAATATCGGTTTACGTCGTTGATATCGAGGATGTTGATGATGATGTTGATGAGGAAATTGCTGAAATGTATATCATTGTATATCGAATGTTACATATCTACACTTGCAAAATTCATGTAACAATTCTGTCGATCATAGTCTATAGACCATAGTCTAGATCATACGTAGATCGCAAAAATAAAATCCATAGAGACGAAACAATCCTTACAATCCTTATGAAGTAAACAACTTGTTTATTAAGCGTTAAAAGAGAGGTGATGAATAATTAAATATCCGAAGAATCTGGCAATTCATCTTGTTCATCGAATGTGAAACTGTCAAAGAGGCTTTAAAAAAAGACCGCATCGTATTTGAAGGAGAACGTTGAGCATCCCTTCGTCCACATCTTGTCTCCTTTGGAAGATGATCTGTCGCTATCTTGTCGATATCTATCTCGTTCGGTCCAATAACTTCCTGCTTAGTCGAGCCGACTGTAATACGCGAACGCGTCGGAGTGCGAATGGAATCGAATGAGCGCGAAAATGAATCGGCGAAAATCTGTGGATCGCAAGCTCCCCTCCTCCCCCCCGTTTCATCCGAGCTAAAGCTCCTCCGTCGTGAATCGATTTTTCGCGTTTACCTTCCGGCGTTCGCCGTTTTGCCGCTTTTCCGCGGTCGCGTTCGGTCCGGTGACAACGCGGAAATTCGGTCGATCTTGTCTCGAGATTTGGATCGCTTCCCAAAGACAACAACGTGACGTATGCGTCGGTCCCACGAGAAACTCGCGCGGGCTTGTCTTGGCCGTTGGCTTCCGGGCTGGTTATCGAGAGTCTACGAGATAACGTAGGTCTACGTGCAACAACTTTGCGCCACAGTGCCACACATCGTAAATCGAATTGGGTCGGTTCCGGAGGAAAATATTATACGCCATTGATATGGGGGTTGCCGTTGACGCCGCTGCCGCGCAGCCAAACGGATCGAGATATTCGCGTCGAGCGTCGGCGCTAGATGGAATTTTTATGACCGAATGTGTTAAAAATATTATCGCGCCGTGAGATAGGCAGTTTTTTCCCCCATGAAAAGCGTCGGCGGGCTCATTCGGAATGTATTGGACAATGCCTACGACCGCGGCAGCGTGCTATATGTACGTTGCAGTGATAGAGTATTCCGAAAATGTTATTTCACCGATTGCGGAATATCGTAGGAGACGAGACGAGCTTGGGGATAAATCGTCTTTTGTGATGTATTTCTCGCACGGTCGGATTTGAAGGGAGGAAAGAACGGGTGACGGCTCTGGATCTATCCTTAACAAATTTAATAAGATTTTCTATTGCGCATATTGCAAAATTAATTTAAACTTGTCCCTTTTATTAACAAACACGTTCTTTGACTGATAATTACTGATATGAGTTCACATAAATCCAGTCCATATGGACAGAAATAATTTTTGATCGTCGTTTTAAAAAAAAAGAATGCAGGATGGCGCGATACGAGCGGCGTTCTGATATAACGTAATTACTCTCTTGTGCGTAATTTGCGAAGTGTACCACGAATGTAGAATACCTGATGCTATTGGAAATTGCCGTGTCGAGCGCTACGTGTTGAGAAAGTACGAAGCGCTTTTAGATATACACGCTGCATTACATCGCCGTTGCGCTTATGCATATGCAGAAACGATAATATGACAGCCCGAAGTATTTCGCTGTATATATTCTCTTCTACGAGATTATCAGCTTTCTGGTACACGAGCGTGTCGAAACTTCCCTTGTCGACCGTGTCTGTGTGTCTAAAACTTCGAAACGTGTCATAAATCGAAATATATCATGCGAAAATGTTGCAGGGAATATCAACGATAATAGCATGGATCAAGAGATTTTCATAGATTAAGAGATATTGTAAATATACGAAGGTTTCAGCGTCATAAGCTGCTTTCTCAGAAATCATTAGTGATGACGATAAAATCTTTCTTTGAGTCAAAACTTGTTGGGGGTTTCTTTTATGGGACGAGAAATGGAACATCACCTTTCTTTTATGGTTTTAAATATTAATTGCCATAATTTTGAAAGGAATACGTCAGTTCTAACAATTATTATTATATTATTTAAAATCCAAAAATAGAAGAAAATAAATGTGAATATGAGTTTTTTTCCTTTTTTTATTTCGTTGATATTATTAAGTTTAATATTTTTTTATATATGTATTGTAATTATATCAATATGCATATAGAAATAAAATATGCATATAGAAATAAAATTATTTTTACTTATTTATTACTATCTGAATTGTTATTAAAAAAAAAGAAATAAAACATTTTGATGATAAAAATGTTTTATATGTAAAATATCAAGGTATTCTTTTGTATCTGCTGCAATTTGGTGATAACATATTTTTTATCTGCGCACGTTCAACAAATATCATAAATCATAAATTTGTTCTTTTAGTAGATATTTCTATTATCCGTTGAGACATTTGCATTCGGAAATTGTCGCATAATCTTTATGATAACTCCAGATCTAGGTTCGAGCTCCGGAATACGTGACGTATTTTACGCTTCGCGTATGTATCAAATTGACGAGGTTGTGCCATGATATAGAACGACAGATTATTACACGGATTCTGATGTCACAGGTGTTGCTTCTGGTTGCTTGTCAACAGGTTTGCGTCGTCTGACTCTGTATGTGGTCAACATCACTAGTGAAGCGTGTATATGAACATGAAAAGCGATATGCCCTAGATACGATTATTGCAAGTGATGTTCACTTTTTATTATTCGATTATATAATAATTTATCAAATTAATAAAGTAAATTATTATCAAATAATATAATTAATATATTATTAATACGTAAAGAAATATACTTTCTTTTTTATATTTTTCTGAAACTAGTTTCACTCTAACAATTCCATTACATGAAACATTCTCTTCTATTTTTGTTTTTTTTGAAATATATATTTTGTATATGATATTTATATAAAAGTAATAGTGTTGAAAATAAATTAAAAATAAAAGTAAAATTTTTATCAATTTTTTTAATAAATGAAAAAGCGACGATACGAG